AAAAAATAAACAATGATCATTATTGATTTGTCTCAACACGATTTTTGTTCGAAGGGAATCGAGATTATTTTCTTTGGCATTCTCATCGACCCAGATCAAAATGAATTCTTGATTGATTTCAATTGGAGATGTAGAATGACGGTGACGAATATTTGAAATATCATTGGAATGAGTCGAGTTCGAATTTCCCATTCTAAAGAGAGAAAAACACAAAAAAAGCACATCATGTTTGATTAGGCGATCGAATGTTTATCGAAAAAGGAAGAAAACGAAAAAAATTAAAAGACATGCTTCATTGATTATTTTTTATATAAAAAAACGTGTTTCGAAGTGATAAAATATGACTTGGTGAAAAAATGAATTTCGTCAATATGAGCGTTTTTGGACACTATTACCTTTTATTACAACGAATATCAACATTCATATACAGATATGCATTCGATTATCATTTCATAATTAGACAAAATATCCGATTGATGGAAGTATTTTCATTCCTGAAACATTACTCAATCTTAATATAACAATCAATCCACCTAATATCCGTTGTAATTGGTCATTTGATATTTATCTGATTGATGGTCGAACCATGCACTTCGGTAAATGATCAAACAACAGGCTCGGTGTTCTATCATTATGATTTAGAGCAAGGTTCAATTGTGACGTATCCACGTGCCGGTATACTTAAAGATTATGGTGCGACAGCTGGACTTCAATGTCGAAGAGGAAGTAGAACAACGACATTATGTTTTTCTCATGCATAAATCATATTCTTTTTGAAATAACGAAACAAAACGTATGTTTATGCCTTCATAAAAATTCGTGAAATGCCGTTAAAATTCAATTATCATGTCCGAAGGTGTTATTCATGTAAACTGCATAGGGCATTTTGTATTTTACCCAAGTATGAAGGTAAACTTGAAATTGTAGGGCAGAATTCAAACCTCTCAGAAAAAATATTTTCGTTCGTGAAGTTCTATAATCAATCAAAAAGCGAAAGAATCTGATTAGCAAACGCTTATTATCATTAAACTAAAGTTCGAATTTAAAACGTTCGTGCGACTGAATTTTGATTTTTCTTTTTGATATTTCTGATGTGGCGAAAGTTTCATTAGGTAAAGGCGCTCCCATGAGTAACCATTGTTGCAAAACTCTTTTGTCATCAGTGTCACGATTGAAAACTTGTTCAAGTTCACCATTGGACTCAATCGCTCTCATTAATTTGCAGGTATCAACGTTTTCTTTAGTCAATCTTTGTCCATCCTAAAGAATTTGAAAATCATCGCCATTTCTCTTATCGCTTCATAATCAAAATGACTCACAAATGGAACAGTCCATTCACTTGCACGAAAAGCAGCTAACAGATCAGTTATGCTACCAGCAAATAATTGTTGCAATGATTTATGGGATTTGTCTGATAATTTGAGTGTAACATGATTTTGGATCTTTTCAGCCAATTTTCGACGTTGAAGGACAAGAGAAAGCATTTCATTGACAGCAGATGGTTGTAATGAAAGAATCCAGCGTGAGATAATAATCAGTTCATCAGCATCGAATATCTTCAAAAGAAAACGTCAATTTTATTTCCATACAAATTGAATATATTACTTGATACATTGGACCGTGAAAACCAATGGAATAGTTAAGAAATTTACTGGCGCCGGGATCTCCTTTGACGATGAGATCAGAAGTTTCAAGTTGTTCACATAACTTTTCAGCGTTGCCAGAACTAAATAATTCGTTTAGCAAATGTCCTTCAGGACCCACCCGAATCGAGTTATGCATTCCTTTGGCACCACTTGACTTTTTCTTTATCAATCTAATGAATTCTTGTCGTGGTGTTAATACTTTTTGTTNGGAATAGTTAAGAAATTTACTGGCACCGGGATCTCCTTTGACGATGAGATCAGAACTTTCAAGTTGTTCACATAACTTTTCAGCATTGCCAGAACTAAACAATTCGTTTAGCAAATGTCCTTCAGGACCCACCCGAATCGAGTTATGCATTCCTTTGGCACCACTTGACTTTTTCTTTATCAATCTAATGAATTCTTGTCGTGGTGTTAATACTTTTTGTTTCTCAAAATATTGTTGAAGAGCACTGTGAATATTCCCAGTCATTCCATAGGCAACATATCTTTGAGAAAACACACATCACTTTCGTTATTCCTTTTGTTTTTTTTTTGCTAACATACCCTATCCAAATACGTTTCCAATGTTCTTGAACAGCTTCTTCACCTTGTGTCTCCATGATCTGATTAAGATATATTGTTACTGCATCTCGAGCGTACCGTCCGTGTCCGTTGACATTATTATCAATCGTAGTATGCAAAAGTGAGAAACTAGGATTTAAATTATATCGTTCGAGTATTTTTCGTAGACTAGCATGATGTGCAGGTGATGTGGTTTCAAGCCACTAAAATTTATAGATTAAAACTCTCGCAATATTGACCCAAAACTATAACATACTAATGTGTAACCGAGGATTTCTGGTTCGAATGTTTTGGGAAATAATGAAGTAGTCAGTGGAAGTAGTGGCTTTTTGAAACTAACTTCAAAGATCGATTGTTGATCAACGAATTCACGGGAAAATATCGATGGAACTTTCAAACCAAGACTCTCGAGAACATTCAAATAGACATTACAATGATTTTGCAAAACATCTCCATTGCCCATCTCATCGATGTAGATAGAGAAGAGTTTACCGGAAGCTGCTGACATTGGTCCTTGTGGTACACCACGTAGCCAAGCACCGTCCGTAAGATGATAAGGCGCGTGTTGAATCAGATAAGTAGTTAAGTGAAGTTTTGTTTGAGCCCACCAGAACAGAGAATCATTAGACACAGGTTGACCAGCTTCACACCCTATTGGCAAAGAAACTCGATTATCCATAGATCGTCTTCGACTACTTACAATCGAGGTAATATTTCTTGAAAAGTCGTTCAAAGATATTATTTAATTTCTCGTTGACCTTTTTCTTGTCGTAAGGAATGTAAGTAAAATGATCTGGAAAATCATGGTTATCTTCATGATCTTCCATCATATATTTAGCAGCTGCAGCATGCATTCGTTCGCTGAATTCTAAATACCGATGTTAATTTAAGATTTATTCGTATTTCTAATGCTATTGTATATACTGACCTTTGGCAATATGTATTTTGTCGTAATGATTTTCGGGATTGATAAAAAAGTGAAAAAGATCTCGATACGAATAATCGTCTAACGTTTTTGTTAGCTTTCCTTTGTTTGTCTTTATTGGCTTGTACTTCGAAAATGCATAAATATTTCCAAAAACAACACCAATCGCACATAACAGAATCACTATTGTTATTTCAACGGCCATCATTGAACATAGCACGTCATTAAATAGATTATTAATCAGTGGTAATATACTACTTGTGATTTGCATTGTTCCCTGATAATCAAAAGAGAAAATCTAAATATTTGAAATATTACATGTCAACAAAGCGAAAAGCGAGAGTTCATCNTTCGGAAATGCATAAATATTTCCAAAAACAACACCAATCGCACATAACAGAATCACTATTGTTATTTCAACGGCCATCATTGAACATAGCACGTCATTAAATAGATTATTAATCAGTGGTAATATACTACTTGTGATTTGCATTGTTCCCTGATAATCAAAAGAGAAAATCTAAATATTTGAAATATTACATGTCAACAAAGCGAAAAGCGAGAGTTCATCTCTGAAGCCTTGCGTTTCCTTCGTCGATACTCACTATTTCCATAGAAGTTTAATAAAGTGAAAGGAATATTGGAATAATGCTTCACCTTTATACATCAACGAGAATACAGAGGAAAATGATTTACATTAAATTTTAGAATTTAATTTTAGCATAGGTGAACTTTCTATTTGCACATGAATCACTTTAGCATAGGTGAACTCTCTATTTGCACACATGAATCACTTTTCGAACGGGAACAATGACCTTCTCAAAGAAAGGGTTTTTTTTTTATCTCTTCTCTTATGTATCACCATTTTACTTTATCAGCATTACTCTACAAAAAAGATTCGTTTCACCTAACTCGGTACACTATCAACAATAGTTTACAATCTAAGTTAAATATATCAAAAATCGTAACGATGAGACTGCAATAATTCGAAAAAATAAGAACGTAAAAATGTTATCTTTTAAGTACTCTTGGTAATGAAAAAGAAGACAAGAACGAATCAATTCCTATCGCATAGCGAACTTTATCAAACCCATACACGATGCCATATTCGTACGATCATACTCGTCTTAAAGTTTTATTGAATAGAAAAGGCAGTTCATAATTCTCTTTTTTTTCGAAACGATCATTCACCAGCTTTTTGAATTTGTTTCGTTGCAAAATAAGTTATCTTTGCAAGGATCAATGATTTTAATTGGTAAATTTATTGACATGATAGTAACTTCCAAATTCAAATGAAGGAGCTTAAAATGTTGATTGCACGCTTATTTGAATATACTTGAAGACAAAACAATAAGCTCTATTAATATAGGTATATGGCATCATGTCTAAATCACGTACGCGAACAGCATACATGAGGACTAAATGACTCTAAACGGTATATTTGTATCATTGAAGCTAACAAAAAAATTAGATAAGAAGTCTTGAAATTTACTTGGAATCTTTCATTCTTATTCAATCCGTGGAATATATAGCGAGGTATACATTTTTATTCATCAATGACTTAGACCAGATTATAGGATCGAGTTTCTCATTCGAACATTTTGTTCAGAAAATTTGACAAACAAATCGAGGAATGAGAGGACAAATCTTTTTATTTTTTTAACTATTCGGGTTTTGGCTGATATCGAAAAATGCGGATGCCATGTTCATCTGAATACCAAATGTTAAACGGCGACATTCTCATTGCTATAGTCAAGTAATCTTGATACGTGTCAGGATCATTCACTCGATCAATAAGTATTGTCAACGCTGCTTCGATCATTGCTGGCGACAATGAACTCGTGTTCATTTGTGCTAATTTAAAAGCAATTGCAATAGTAACTCTGCACTTGCTATCACCTGTATAATGACGTTCATCGATCAGATCTTTTAATAGTAGACCCGCGATTTCTTTTAACATCTCATCTGTAACCAACGATTCTGTTACTTTTTCAGGTTTCCGTTCAAGTTCCGAGAGATCAAATGCAAATAATTCGTGCTCAGGATTGTAAGTGCAAACTTCAATTATTTCTTGTGGAGAAAAATCAATTGAGCTTTTGTCAGATCTTTCTCTCGTATCAATACTCATTTTCCATCTAAAACAACACATTGAAATCTTTCATATCAATCTTATCGATGGATCAACTTACTTCAATGAGTCAATCTGATTTTCCAATAGACGAATACTATCTTGATCTGTTATATGACAAAGACGTTTTGTTTCAATTGCTTTTGTTGCACATAGAATTGCTTTTCTCCATTCTTTCCGATTTCTGTATATTTGAGATAAAGCAAGATAATTTTTATAAATTGCATCATAATCTGTTGGTGTATCTCGTAATAAGATATTCAGAACTAGTTGACACATTCCAAGAGCTGTTTGTATTAAACCAAAGAATATTAAATTTGATATCATTTGATCATAGAATTGAACAAAAACAAAATGAGTTTGATGATTGGGTAAAAGAGTTTGAAATTCATCTATCGCTTTCAATTCGTCTAAAATACTTAGATGATACTCATCTTGTAAAAAATGTCTTTGTGCTTTGATATGATGTCGAAGAGCGTTGATCGCTTTGTTCTGCGGTAGATTGATAATTTCCTTTTGACAATGGTTAGGCAAATACAATAAAAGTTGTTGAAATGTTATTCTTTCAAGTATTTCAACTGTAGTGAATTGTGATGATGTGGTTCTCGTATTCGAGCTATTAAGAGATTGATTTGAATCATGATCACTTGTCGAACTTTCACAACAGCCCATTTGCGATACTAACGATACAGAAATTGGTTTTATCGTTAGTAAAATCAACCATTTATATCGGTAGGAAAAGGATGTGCAGCGCAAAAAGAAACATGACTAATGACCTTTATTTTGATTTGTTCTAAATGTTAGGGATTGTTTTAGTTCCTTCGTTTACACGTCAATTGTCAAGAATGTAAAATGATATTCAAGAGACATACAAAAATAAAAAAAGTACAATGAATAAGGATTTTCTCTTTAGATTCAGACGATTAACTGTGATTTTGCAATAGATTAATTAAAATTGAATTATTTATGATCTTGATTGACATGTTATATTAAGTTTTACAAATTATGGATATCAAATTGTCTTTCCAGGATGTGTCATTTTGTCTTATAAATATATATTTGCTTTGAATCATTATACATAGTAATGCTGGGTAATTACTTACATTAACAGATTTTCGACAATAAGCCGGTTGATTTTCTTTCTTGCAATACTTTTTTTGCTTACTAATGACTTGGTCTTATATCCTTTTGAATCATTCCAAGAATTACCCGTTTCACCGATAATCTATTGATTTAAATAGAGTTACAATTTGTATTCAATTGTGACCTTGAAGGATATGCTTTTTGTTATTTAATTCACTCATGTATAGGGGAACTTCCTTATCGAGTGGATCAAAAAGGAATCGAGATGTAATATTTTGCCACTATTATGGAAATTGAATAAGTTTTCTTCATCAATTTACTCGATGTTCACAATACGAACAATTAACACGCATTGTTTACTCAACGCTTAACGAGAAATCATATTTTACGGTTCCAATTTTAGTTTTAAAATCAATGCGATTCGATCCTTCAACATTCCATTTCTACTCGTGATGTCAACTCATGCATTTTTCCGTCTAATAATAACCGGCAATAATTTACGGATTTATGCATTAATCAAATAACATCTTTTCAAGAATATCATCGACCATAAGAAATGAAACCAGTTTTTGGAACAAATTGTGCGCGAACTGCTGTGTAATATATGCAAAGAAGATCTGAACAAGAAAAAGAATTGACTTTGAACGGTTTTTTCTTCTTTCGAATTAAATCAAATTCAACAAATGATTATAACGAAAGTTCAAGCTTTTTCAATTTAATTCAAATTAAGAAAATACTGGATGCTTTGATCATCACGAGAAGATTGTTCATGTCTTCGAACGATCTCAATTGGATTGAAAATGAGTTGATCTAGAAGATATTGAGATCCATGAAAGAAATATAAAATCGACAACTGGATGGAAGTTTTGCTAATCGATCGACATCATTTTATATTTCAATTTGAATTCGAAATAAATCAAAATATCCGAAGTAATATGTGAATTATTTCTTCACTTTTTCCATTATTGAATATCAAGTAGATGGTATATATTAACTTATCTTATGCGTATTTTTATATGACAAACACGAACACATTTTGTATATCAAAAACATACTTTTAAGCGTGTTATACAATCACCATCTCGAACATGATAACATTTCATGTATTAAGAATGTTCGAAAATGGCTTATCTGATCAATACATGTGATTGTTCATAATAAACCGTGTTATTCCAGAGAATGCCGTGTGAAAGTTTTGTTTTTTTCACTTACCTTCCATCTCTTCTATCGACCTATGAAAGTCACAGGAACATTTGATAGACGTTATAGTTATCGTCGAACTGTCTGGGTGATACATGACCTTCACCCAGAATGGGAATAAATATTGTGATTATTTAACCTTGGAATTCGATGACGAAATAACATTATTTTTGAAATGATCATACATATTGAATATGTTATTGAATATTTGAAAGCAAAACATCATTGATACATAATGATATCTGAATTTGTATCTCAAGGTTTATTTGAGTCATTTAGACATCTCTTAATGATGTTAAATGACTCAATAATCGACAGTTTCATACAAATAAAAGAGAAAAATATGTATGTTACAAGAGAAAAATAGAAGGAAGTAAAAAATGGATAAAACAACTGCTGAAAATTTCATGAAAGACCTTTATTCGAATTCAAATCCATTATTATACGAATTTCGAAATGATAATATTGGTATTCAACCTTATTTTGCTCTAGTGATTCAATGTCTTCTGTTCGAATGTTCTCAACGAGTTTGGAATCGTGCCGTTTACAAAACTTGGTTATTACCAAGTGAATTAATTATTATTGAAGTTGTCAAATCATCTCATCAACAACAAAATCCAACAAAAATCCGTCGAACAATTAAACCTCGTTCTTCTCCGACTATTTATATATTTGAACAATGGAAAAAATTGTCGATTTCAGTAATCAAAACTCGTCGAATTCAAACATTTGATCTTTTCGATCTTGTATTTGCAAGTCTTCCGTTAGTTGCTCAGACAATCTGGTTTTGTTGTGTTCAGTGGCCATGTTTAGTTATTAGCGATGGACAAGTCTGGAATTGTTATAATTTGTTTGGTTATCGTTTGTACAATTACGTTTTCAGTCGATTTGTCGAGTTTACCTGGGAATTTGTTCCAAAACTTTATTTTTTAATCAAAAATCGAAAAACTTTCCGCAGAAAGACCGGTAATTGCAGACATCGTTGTTCCAATGCCATTTTTTACATAAGTTTGTCAAGTTCTATCATCACATTTCTCTTTGTTGGAGTTTTAATATTTCCATATTTGATCACACATATTATTCCGATGACTTGTATTTATCTGATTATTTTCATTACTTATATTTACTTTATTATCGTTATTTCAATCTTTATGGAATATTTCATTCCGTTTAAAAATTATTTTCTTTTCTTACAAAAGATCTTTCAAAATGATTCTTTTCTTCGTCAAGCTGGAATTCGTATTGGAATTAAAATTTTACCTTATATCGTGGAGATTTTGTTTAGTCTCTCACAATCATTTTATTATGGAAGTGATTATTGGCAAGCGATTGGCAAAGAAATCGACGCAAGAGAAACGAAATTGTATCTTTATCGACTCGGTTATTCACCGGATCAAATTTTTCACACGATATTGGCGATTTTATAGTTGAAAACTTGAATTTTTTTCCTTCAAATAAAAGCCGCTTTGTAAAGATTTTCGATTGCGTCATTTGTTCGAATTCAAATAAAAATGAAATAAAAGGAGAAGATTAATTGAACATTCATGGTAACTGATGAATTAATCTGCAATGCTGTGGCATAGGATGACGTTGTATAATTTGATGGATCATTTGTGGTACAATTTGAACCGAAACAACCGACAAGATATGGATAAGTTGACATGTGGCAAATTAATACACATAATTTTCATCAGAATTTTCAAAAACTCCATTAGAAGCATCAAAACTTCATATCACGCATATACTTGAAAATGATGAAACATTTCCCAGTGAGTAAGTTAAGTTGACAACCGATTGCAATATGATAGTGATAGACATATGTTCCTTGCTAGTGAGTAAGGCAACTATCAACTAATTCAACAATTCCACCTGCTAGAGGATAAAAAGAAACTTGTGAAGTTTTGGTTTTATGAATAAATACCTAAAGCACGATTTAAGTTGACTTCAAAATCAACGTCTGCAATTCAGTAAATGTCTCCATTAGATCATTAGCATAACATGGTGGTAAATCATTGGTTTTGAATACGAATCTTAATTGCCCTGCTTGCATTTCGACACACAGCACTTAACTGAGACATTTTTACTAATGAAGAAAAAAACGGCTCGACTCATAAACTTGAAACAGGAAAGTGTATTGATATTCTTCTTATCGTGCCATCGCATTATTCGAGATCTTTCTTCTAAAAAGTTAATTTATGCTTTTTTTTTAGTACTAATCGTCACCCACACCCTACAGAGACTCATGCTTTATTTTATGAATATATTGTAACATCAATTAATTAAAAAAAATGACCCGTACATCTCTTTCAATTCAACACAAAATTTATATTCAGTCGCTACACCAATATCCGATATGACAAACCTGAATCAAAACCGAAAAAGTAAGTAAATTTTCGACAAAATACAAACTAGAATGAACTTCACCTGGTTAACTTTAACAGCATCAGCCAAACGCAGTTTTCCTTCAGCTCCAATGAAACCGGCTGGAAGATATAGTGTGGTGAGTGTCTGAATGTAGAATAATGTGATGAATGAAGGAGAAAGTGGATAAATCGATGATCGCTACTTTGTTAACTCGAAGAGCATTAGCCAAGTGATCTGCNTTCGAAAATGCATAAATATTTCCAAAAACAACACCAATCGCACATAACAGAATCACTATTGTTATTTCAACGGCCATCATTGAACATAGCACGTCATTAAATAGATTATTAATCAGTGGTAATATACTACTTGTGATTTGCATTGTTCCCTGATAATCAAAAGAGAAAATCTAAATATTTGAAATATTACATGTCAACAAAGCGAAAAGCGAGAGTTCATCGCTGAAGCCTTGCGTTTTCTTCGTCGATACTCACTATTTCTATAGAATTTTAATAAAGTGAAAGAAATATTGGAATAATGCTTCACCTTTATACATCAACGAGAATACAGAGGAAAATGATTTATATTAAATTTTTAGAATTTAATTTTAGCATAGGTGAACTTTCTATTTGCACATGAATCACTTTAGCATAGGTGAACTCTCTATTTGCACATGAATCATTTTTCGAACGGGGACAATGACCTTCTCAAAGAAAGTTTCTTTTTTAATCTCTTCTCTTATGTATCACCATTTTACTTTATCAGCATTACTCTACAAAAAAGATTCGTTCCACCTAACTCGGTACACTATCAACAATAGTTTACAATCTAAGTTAAATATATCAAACATCGTAACGATGAGAGTGCAATAATTCGAAAAAACAAGAACGTAAAAATGTTATCTTTTAAGTACTCTTGGTAATGAAAAAGAAGACAAGAACGAAACAATTCCTATTGCATAGCGAACTTTATCAAACCCATACACGATGCCATATTCGTACGATCATACTCGTCTTAAAGTTGTATTGAATAGAAAAGGCAGTTCATAATTCTTTTTTTCCGAAACGATCATTCACCAGCTTTTTGAATTTGTTTCGCTGCAAAATAAGTTATCTTTGCAAGGATCAATGATTTTAATTGGTAAATACTTGGAATCTTTCATTCTTATTCAATCCGTGGAATATATAGCGAGGTATACATTTTTATTCATCAATGACTTAGACCAGATTATAGGATCGAGTTTCTAATTCGAACATTTTGTTTGGAAAATTTGACAAACAAATCGAAGAACGAGAGGAAAAATCTTTTTATTTTTGTAACTGTTTGGATTTTGGCTGATATCGAAAAATACGGATGCCATGTTCATCTGAATACCAAATGTTAAACGGCGATATTCTCATTACTCTAGTCAAGTAATCTTCATATGTGTCAGGATCATTCACTCGATCAATAAGTATTGTCAATGCTGCTTCGATCATTGCTGGCGACAATGAACTCGTGTTCATTTGTGCTAATTTAAAAGCAATTGCAATAGTAACTCTGCACTCGCTATCACCTGTATAATGACGTTCATCGATCAGATCTTTTAATAGTAGACCCGCGATTTCTTTTAACATCTCATCTGTAACCAAGGATTCTGTTACTTTTTCAGGTTTCCGTTCAAGTTCCGAGAGATCAAATGCAAATAATTCGTGCTCAGGATTGTACGTGCAAACTTCAATTATTTCTTGTGGAGAAAAATCAATTGAGCTTTTGTCAGATCTTTCTCTTGTATCAATACTCATTTTCCATCTAAAACAACACATTGAAACCTTTCATCTCAACCTTATCGATGGATCAACTTACTTTAATGATTCGATCTGATTTTCCAATAGACGAATACTATCTTGATCTGTTATATGACAAAGACGTTTTGTTTCAATTGCTTTCGTTGCACATAGAATTGCTTTTCTCCATTCTTTCCGGTTTCTGTATATTTGAGATAAAGCAAAATAATTTTTATAAATTGTATTATAATCTGTTGGTGTATCTCGTAATAAGATATTCAAAACTAGTTGACACATTTCAAGAGCTGTTTGTATTAAACCAAAGAATATTAAACTTGATATCATTTTCTCATAGAATTGAACAAAAACAAAATGAGTTTGAAATTCATCTATCGCTTTCAATTCGTTTAAAATACTTAGATGATATTCATTTTGTAAAAAATGTCTTTGTGCTTTGATATGATGTCGAAGAGCGTTGATCACTTTGTTCTATGGTAGATTGATAATTTCCTTTCGACAATGGTTAGGCAAATACAACAGAAGTTGTTGAAATGTTATTCCTTCAAGTATTTCAACTGTGGTTAATTGTGATGCATTGGTTGTCGTATTGGAGCTATTAAGAAATTGATTTGAATCATAATCACTTGTCGAACTTTCACAACAACCCATTTACGACGCTAACGATACAGAAATTGGTTTTATCGTTGGTAAAATCGATCATTTATATCAGTAGGAAAAGGATGTGCAGCGCAAAAAGAAACATGACTAATGACCTTTATTTTGATTTTGTTCTAAATGTTAGTGATTGTTTTAGTTCCTTCATTTACACGTCAATTATCAAGAATGTAAAATGATATTCAAGAGACATACAAAAATAAAAAAGTACAATGAACAAGGATTTTCTCCTTAGATTCAGACGATTAACTGTGATTTTGCAATAGATTGATTGAAATTCAACTATTCATGTTCGTAATCGACATGTTATATGAAGTTTTACAAAGTATGGATATCAAATTGTCTTTCCAGGATGTGTCATTTTGTCGTATAAATATATATTTGCTTTGAATCATTATACATAGTAATGCTGGGTAATTACTTACATTAACAGATTTTCGACAATAAGCCGGTTGATTTCCTTTCTTGCAATACTTTTTTTGCTTACTAATGACTTGGTCTTATATCCTTCTGAATCATTCCAAGAATTACCCGTTTCACCGATAATCTATTGATTTAAACAGAGTTACAATTTGTATTCAATTGTGACCTTGAAGGATACGCTTTTTGTTATTTAATTCACTCATGTATAGGGGAACTTCCTTATCGAGTGAATCAAAAAGGAATCGAGATGTAATATTTTGCCACTATTATGGAAATTGAATAACTTTTCTTCATCAATTTACTCGGTGTTTACAATACGAACAATTAACAGGTATTGTTTACTCGACGCTTAACGAGAAATCATATTTTACGGTTCCGATTTTAGTTTTAAAATCAATGCGATTCGATCCTTCAACATTCCATTTCTACCCGTGATGTCAACTCATGCATTTTTCCGGCAAATAATAACTGGCAATAATTTACGGATTTATGCATTAATCAAATAACATCTTTTCAAGAATATCATCGACCGTAAGAAATGAAACCAGTTTTTGGAACAAATTGTGCGCGAACTGCATGTAATATGCAAAGAAGATCTGAACAAGAAAAAGAATTGACTTTGAACGTTTTTTTTTTCTTTCAAATTAAATCAAATTCAATAAATGATTATAACGAAAGTTCAAGCTTTTTCAATTTAATTCAAATTAAGAAAATACTGAATGCTTTGATCATCACGAGAAGATTGTTCATGTCTTCGAACGATCTCAATTGGATTGAAAATGAGTTTATCTAGAAGATATTGAGATCCATTAGAAAAATATAAAATCGACAACTGGATGGAAGTTTTGCTAATCGATCAACATCATTTTATATTTCAATTTGAATTCGAAATAAATCAAAATATCCGAAGTAAAATGTGAATTATTTCTTCACTTTTTTCATTATTGAATCTCAAGTAGATGGTATAGATTGACTTATCTTGCGAATATTTTTATATGATAAACACGAACACATTTTGCATATCAAAAACATATTTTTAAGCGTGTTATACAATCACCATCTCGAACATAACATTTCATGTATTGAGAATGTTTCAAAATGGCTTATCTTATCAATACATATGATTGTTCATAATAAACCGTGTTATTCCAGAGAATGCCGTGTGAAATTTTTTCTTTTTCATTCACCTTTCATCTCTTCTACCATCCCATGAAAGTCATAGGAACATTTGATAGACGTTATAGTTATCGTCGAACTGTCTGGGTGAAACATGACTTTCACCCAGATTGGGAATAAATATTGATGATATTTAACCTTGGAATTTGATGACTAAATGGCATTATTTTTGAAATGATCATACACATTGAATATGTTATTGAATATTTGAAAGCAAAATATCATTGATACATAATGATATCTGAGTTTGTATCTCAAGGTTTATTTGAGTCATTTAGACATCTCTTAATGATGTTAAATGACTGAATAATCGACATTTTCATGCAAATAAAAGAGAAAACTATGTATGTTACAAGAGAAAAACAGAAGGAAGTAGAAAATGGATAAAACAACTGCTGAAAATTTCATGAAAGATCTTTATTCGAATTCAAATCCATTATTATACGAATTTCGAAATGATAATATTGGTATTCAACCTTATTTTGCTCTAGTGATTCAATGTCTTCTGTTCGAATGCTCTCAACGAATTTGGAATCGTGTCATTTACAAAACTTGGTTATTACCAAGTGAATTAATTATTATTGAAGTTGTCAAATCATCTCATCAACAGCGAAATCCAACAAAAATTCGTCGAACAATTAAACCTCGTTCTTCTCCGACTATTTATATATTTGAACAATGGAAAAAATTGTCGATTTCAGTAATCAAAACTCGTCGAATTCAAACATTTGATCTTTTCGATCTTGTATTTTCAAGTCTTCCGTTAACTGCTCATACGATTTGGTTTTGTGTTATTCAGTGGCCGTGTTTAGCTATTACCGATGGACAAGTCTGGAATTGTTATAATTTGTTTGGCTATCGTTTGTACAATTACGTTTTCAGTCGATATGTCGAGTTTACCCGGGAATTTTTTCCAAAACTTTATTTTTTAATCAAAAATCGAAAAACTTTCCGCAGAAAGACCGGTAATTGCAGACATTGTTGTTCCAATGCCATTTTTTATATAAGTTTATCAAGTTCTATCATCACATTTCTCTTTCTTGGAGTTTTAATATTTCCATATTTGATCACACATGTTATTCCGATGACTTGTATTTATCAGGTTATTTTCATTACTTATATTTACTTTATTGTCGTTATTTCAATCTTTATGGAATATTTCATTCCGTTTAAAAATTATTTTCTTTTCTTACGAAAGATCTTTAAAAATGATTCTCATCTTCGTCGAGCTGGAATTCATACTGGAATTAAAATTTTACCTTATATCGTGGGGATTTTGTTTAATCTATCCCAATCATTTTATTATGGAAGTGATTATTGGCAAACGATTGGCAAAGAAATCGATTCAAGAGAATCGAAATTGTATCTTTATCGAATCGGTTATTCACCGGATCAAATTTTTCACACGATATTGACGACTTTATAGTTGAAAACTTGAATTTCTTTCCTTCAAATAAAAGCCGCTTTGTAAAGATTTTCGATTGCGTCATTTGTTCGAATTCAAATAAGAAGAAATAAAAGGAGAAAATTAATTGAATACTCATGGAAACTTTACTACGAACAGTTGTAGTTATGGTAACTGATGAATTCATTTGTAGTACAATTTGAACCGAAACAACCGACAAGATATGGATAAGCTGACGTGTCAAAATACACATAATTTTCGTTAGAATTTTAAAAAAACTCCATTAGAAGCATCGAAACCTCATATCCCGCATACACTTGAAAATGATGAAACATTTCTCAGTGAGTAGGTTAAGTTGACAACCGATTGCAATATGATAGTGATAGACATCTGTTGGTTGCCAATGAGTAAGACAACTATCAACTATTTCAACAATCCCACCTGCTAGAGAGTAAAAAGAAATTTGTAAAGTTTTGGTTTTATGAATAAATACTGACAGAAGGATTCAAATTAACTTCAAAATCAACCTCTGATTCAGTAAATGTCTCCATTAGAACATTAGCATAATGTGGTAGTAAATTGTTGGTTTGAATATGAATCTTAATTGTTCTGCTTGCATTTCGACACACAGCACTTAACTTTCGTTGTACATGATGATGAAGCAACTAATTGACACTTTTTTACTAATGAAGAAAAAAATGGCTCGACTCATAAACTTGTAATAGGAAAGTGCATTGATATTCTTCTTCGTGTCATCGCATTATTCAAGATCTTTCTTCTAATAAGTTAATTTATGCTTTTTTTACAGCTAATCATCACTCACACCCTACAGACACTCATGCTTTATTTTATGAATATATTGTAACATCAATTGATAAATAAAATCACCCATACATTTCTTTCAATTCAATACGAAATTTATATTCAGTCGCTAATCCAATATCCGATATGACAAACCTGAATCAAAATCGAAAAAGTGGGTAAATTTTCGACAAAATACAAACTAGAATGAACTTCACCTGGTTAATTTCAACAGCATCAGCCAAACGCAGTTTTCCTTCAGCTCCAATGAAACTGGCTGGAAGATATAGTGTGGTGAGTGTCTGAATGTAGAATAATGTGATGAATGAAGGAGAAAGTGGATAAATCGATGATCGCTACTTTGTTAACTCGAAGAGCATTAGCCAAGTGATCTGCTCCCTCGTTTCCGATTGGACAACCATGAATATCTAGTGTTGTGAGTACCTCAATAGAATAATGTGATAAATAAAGGAAAATATGAGATGATCCCTGATGTATACTCTGTTAACTCGAAGAACATCAGCCAAATATTGTGCTCCTTCGTTTCCTATGAGATTGTCCGAGAGGTACAGTGCTGTGACTGTCTATATCAAAGAAAGCGACGTGTGAACGACCATGTAAGTCAATGCGTGATCATTACTGTGTTGATCCGAAATGCATCCGCTAAATGCTGCGCGGATTCGTCCCCAAGTCTATTATGATCGAGATAGAGTGTCGTGAGAGTCTAAATGGAGAAATTCCATGGATGAATGAAAATATAAAAAGATTTATAATGATTACTGTGTTAACTCGAAGGGCAGCAGCTAAACTTTGCGCTCCACTCTCTCCGATTTCACTGCCGTTGATATGTAGTGCTGTGAGAGCCTAAATGGATGATTACCATCAATTAACAACTAAATGAATGAATACATGATGCATACTGTGTTAACCCGAAGTGCATCAGCCAATTGCTGTACTCCTTCATCTCCTATGCGATTCCATGAGAGATCTAGTATGGTGAGTGTCTAAATAAAAGACTAATTATGATGAATAAATATGAGGGTAGATAAATACATCATAATTACTGTGTTAAACTGAAGAAGATCTGCCCAATTATGTGCTGCTTCGTCCCAGATTCCATTGTTCGCGAGATAGAGCGTCGTGAGAATCTAAATGAAGGAAAACCATAAATGAATGGGAATGTAAAAAGATCTATAATGATCACTGTGTTAACTCGAAGAGCAGTAGCCAAATAATGTGCACCTTCGCCACCTATGAAATTGTTTGAAAGATTTAGTGTTGTGAGTGTCTAAATAGAATAATTTAATGAATGAATGAATGATTAGGCTACCCAAAGCATGATCATTACCGTATTAGCTTGAAGAGCATTAGCCAACTGTTGTGCTGCTTTGTTCCCAATTTTATTATAATTAAGATAGAGCGTCGTGAGAGTCTAAATGGGGAAGAGTACCATAAATGAATGGAAATGTGCACGCATCTATAATGATTACTGTGTTAACTCGAAGTGCGGCAGCCCAATTGTGTGCTCCTTCCTCTCCGATTTCAGTGACACTGATATGTAGCGTCGTGAGAGTCTAAATGGAGAAATACCATACATGAACGAGGATGTAAAAGGATCTGTGATTACTGTGTTCACGCAAAGTGCATCAGCAAAATGCTGTGCAACGTCATCTCCTATGAGATTGCTTGAGACATATAGTGTGGTGAGTGTCTGGATAGAGTGAAGTGATGAATGAATAAGAAATAGAATGAGCGCAAGATTATTACTTTGTTAACTCGAAGAGCATTAGCCAAGTGATCCGCTCCCTTGTTTCCGATTGGACAACCACCAAGATCTAGTGTTGTGAGTGTCTAGACAAAAAAATACGACGAACGAACGACCAAACGTGTGAATGCATGGTAATTACTGCGTTAACGTGAAGTGCATCAGCAAAATGCTGTGCTCCTTCATCTCCTATGCGATTGCATGAGAGATCTAATTCTGTGAGTGTCTAAATCGAGTAGTACGGTTGTTGAAAAACAAAGTGTCTGAATGCATGATGATTACTGCGTTAACATGAAGTGCATCAGCCAAATGCTGTGCTCCTTCATCTGCTATGAGATTGCTAGAAAGATCTTATGTCGTGAGAGTCTTAATGGAAGAATACCAGGAATCAATGAGAATGTAAAAGGATCTATGATTACTGCGTTAACACGAAGTGCATCAGCCAAGTGTTTTGCTCCTACGCTTCCGATGTCGTTAAAATTGATGTGTAGTGTAGTGAGCGTCTAAATAAAAGAATATCAGGAATGAATGACTGGGTGGAGGTGGATGAATGCATGATAATTACTGTGTTAACTCGAAGTGCATCTGCGATATGGTGTGCTCCTTCATCTCTGATTTCATTGGAATTGATATTTAATGTAGTGAGTATCTAAATAGAAAAAAAACCATGAATAAACGACCAGGTGAATGAGTACAGGATGATTACTCTATTAACTCGAAGAGTTTCTGCTAAGCGTTGTGTTTCTCCATTTTTGATTTCATGAGCATATATTTCTAGTGTGACGAGTGTCTAAATAAAGCAATATGATGCAGGAATGAGAGATTGGGTGATTTCGTTCAACATTTTATATTTTGACAATAGCGACACCGCAATATACTTGCAGTATGATGTATGAATGATTAAGAAGAGGTGATACGGTCTTATCTTTGAAATAAAAAATGTCTTGATTTTTACGACAATCTCTAAATAAACTTGAGCTTATCAGAAAATTTAATTTTCTAGTTGCTGTAATAAAATATCTGCTATCATCGATTTACTGCGATTAACTAATTTTGTTCGAATTTCTTTGAAGGATAATTATTTGATATATGTATAAACAGTGCATGGATTTACCTGATACCGATGATAGGTATTGAGTATTTGATTGAAGCGATGACAGACATTATGCATTGAGCAGAACAGATCTAAGTCTGATAACTGATCAAGAATTCGATAGACGAATTCAATAGGTATGCTAGTAAATGTGCACATGGCTTCAGTAGGGATGTATTACGCGTTGTTGTTTACTTATTTTCGATCGAATGTAATGCTACTTCCTCTCTTTCTTCACCTTCTTACACTTGTGTAGTCATATCACCTGATTGATAGAAGGAACGAAAAAGACAAGATACTACTAACAAAAATGTAGCTTTTCCATGAAACAGATGGCGTTGACATATGGATGACAGTCCTGACACAGAGAAAATTCTGTCAGCTCAGACTAATCAAAATAAATATCCCTTAGGGACTGTAACATCATTAGACTTCGGAGAAACCCTATACGATTTTGCCCGTTTTTCTCAATTTTTATACCGGTGTATTTTAGGCCTTTCAAAATCAAACTAGACTAGAGCCCTATATATTACACCAGCAGAAGGACAGGTTGCAGGATAAGAATCTCGTAATTTGTCAAACTGTGACGAGTTCTACACTCCAAATACGACTGCCATATTTTCAACAGTACACAGAAAGGAACAAAATTCAAGTGTGTTGAAGCTATTCGAATCGATTCGCAGAAATATATAGAGATATATAAATACTGAGATCTCAGCAGTGTCCGACTTCCGTGAATTATTGACTCATGAGGAATTCATGAATCCTATTTCTCTCTCACAATTACCTTTATTCACAGAATCTCTAACAATCTTACTGTCAAAAGCAATTAAGCTATTTAAGAAATCTACAGAACCCAAGGACCTCACGTGATGGAAGTTAGTAGCGGATTCGAGTAGATCCTGCCAATATTCGCTTTAGTACGTGGGATGTCTGTGAAACTCCTGGGATGGATGAAACTCGGCGATCCCTACAATTTGGTGTAACAAGGCTTTTTTGCGAGTTCTTTTCTTCCCACCGAAAAATGCTTGAAACTGTCCACAATCAGCGAAAAACCGGGCTTCGCTCTACGGATTTCGCTCAAAAGCGGTTTGCAATGAAATAAACATTGGCTACCGGTAGAGGGTGAGGGTGTGGATGTAAGTCGGTATTAGATGGATCCACACCCCTCACTCACACCCATCATCTCACTGTCGAAATTGATTAAGATTTTATTATTTTCTCGTCTATGTATTCTGAAATGGGTGCAGGTCAAAGACAAAGTACATCACGATTTCCATTTTCATAAGAATACTTATACAATATAATTATTATTTTCATCAGTGTCAGAATACATGTATGGCTGCTTTTTGTTCGTCGTAAAATTTATTATTTTTACATCTAGCTTTATATACACTTCGAATAAATTTGGAAGAGACGTCATATTATTAAAATAGGTTCGATCATTTGCTGACTACAATAATACTATTATGGTAACAGTAATTCGTGTGAATAAGACTGATCTATTGAATGGATTAGGAAAGGTGAAGATGAAATTTTAATTCAATACATTATTTTCATAGAAACTATTATCCAGAGGCAACTAGATACTTTTGGTAGAAACGTATTGAAAGTGAACGTAAACTCAGATAGATATCAAGATCGTCTGAATTCTATTCAACTATCATCAAATGATTTAACTGATAAGTCAAGAATTTTCATTACATCAAAAAAACCAGAATCCATTTCGAAAGTAAGTAACAATGAAAGATTTGTTTACTTGTTTATGAGAGTAAAATAAAAAATCTACGCAATGTCAACATGTATATAGCATAATCAGACAGAAACGAATGTCAAAATAAATTATGAATTGAATGAACGAAGATCGACATTTCATGAACAAATAAAACACCGCCGTCGTCGGAAGTACGATATTGAAATGGATTCTTAATTTCATCCATTAATTATTTTTTCGTTGCATGTATAGACGTGGCTCATCTCCATGGTTAAAACGATGCTGTTGTCTGCTAGTAACTATTTCTCTTATTGCCCTTGCCTTGTCTGCTGTGATCGCTGCAGTTACTATGGCAAAATTATCTAAAAGTAAAAAAGGTGTAGTATATGAATATTACTTTTGAAAATAGACTTCTAATGTTTTTCTAATTCTTTTTTTCCGAAAACTATAAATATTGCGTTACTAGATGGCCAGACTACGACGCTTACTAATGCGACTACAGTAACTTCTACAATGCCACCTAGTCTGACTACACCATCTACAAGCACTACCAGAACTGTAAGCACATCTACAACACCATCCACAACCACGCTAGCTACAACATCGCTTACGACTATACTCTCAAGTACTTCTGCAGGTTAGATTACTAACAATGCGGTTAGATTCTACTGTTTGTTTGATATATTGTTGATAGGAACCACTACAACTCCTTTCAATTCAAGTATGTAGGAATATATATATATAGTTTAACAAAGACATACCTGAGGCTGATTGGAAAAATCTCATAGTATATATTAAGTAAATCAGAAACCGGCGTTGCTATGTGGTATCTTAGAAATTATCAGTCTGTAACATCAGAAAATATGATTATGTCTTTGATATTACATGAGTCACTGACATTAGCTAAGAAGCTTTCACGTTAATGGATTAACACGTTGGAAAACGACAGAGGATGAGGGTGAAAAATTTGATGTGTATCTCCATGGAGTTATCATTTTGGAATAGCTGTAATAACGGTGAAATGATCATTCTGGCTAGATAAATTTTGCATATTCTACCAAATTCCTTTTGACCTTGAGCATTTAAGCTTCATTCGTTGTCACTCATGGAAAAAAGAACTCCCATCTGGCTATTCGCACTCAGAAAGTTTAGAGTGAATAGATAGTTTATAGATCGTAGAAAACTCTTTGAAATATATTGTGAAGACCACGTAAATTAATTTAGCAAAACTGGATGAAGTTTTACTTTGCCTCTTCGCCAGCTTTCTCTCGGCTAATCGCTGACCTATAGAAGTACCATGGAATATTTGATGATGCTAATTATTACAGAGGCTGAATGCATAACGAATGGAGAAAAGAAACATACATTCTTACTTATATAATTATATGAAAAGAGTTTTTTTTATAGCGTTCAATAAGAATTTATTGATTAACGGTGATGGTGAAACTGGTCCTTGCGAAACAGGCGGTGGTGTTACACATCCAACAGGATGGAATTACAATGGAACGATTACTCAAATATCCTATAATAATCCTCAACATGGAGATCTTACTCCTTCAGATCCTGGACCGAGGTAAATATTACGAATTATTTTTATCTTTTCTGCAGCTGTCTTTTTTGTTTTCTAGTAACCGTGGTAATTGCTATTTCTTTGGACAAGCGTCGACTGTTACTTCAATGTGGCAAACAGTAAATGTGACACACACTGTTGATCCAGTTTTAATTGATAATTCTGTGGTCAAATTCAATCTATCAGCATGGATTGGCGGCTGGAGTTCTCAAAATGATAATGCGCGTGTTTCAATAGCTTTTGCTGATCAAGCAAATCAAATGCTGGGCAATCGAACAACAATCGGCCCAGTATCAGCTGCTGATCGAAACAGTCAATCATCATTGCTCTTTCGTCAAGCTACTGGACTTGTACCAGCTGGGACTCGTTCTTTTACAATACTTGTCACTATCATTTGTACAGATCCAACTTCGAATGATGGCGATGTTGATAATATTGGAATTTATTTCTATCAATAATTGAACACAACTATTTAACTATTTTCTCTAGATAACCTTGCTAGTGTGAGTGTCACGTACCAGTATCATATATAAGAATGAAATATGGTTAATCATTCGCCCTCTAACCTTTAGCAATGCTCTTCTCACGCACCCTACTAACATTCTTTAAATATAGTAAAAGTAGCTAACGATGTGTGATGGATGTAGATATAAGCCTTTGATACATCTGATACCCACACCCGCACCATATGCCAGAAGGATTTCCGATCGAAATTTAACTTGAAATACTATTATACTCACATTCTCACCCCTTAATTAAACAAAATAAAGTCGAATCAAAATGCACTTGACACTCTTGCATGTATGTGCCGCGTAGGTTGAAGTTCCACATGCGTATCCGTTAGCATCCGGATATGATGACGACGAAACAGAGACACAGGTTCAAGTTGTCGGTCATCTAGACCACCTTTATTTTCGAACAACAACAAAACAAGAAGACAATAACTGTATATATATGTCGTGCCGAAGTTACACTCTGTGCCGAAGTTATAACTTCGACGAACAAAATTTTGTCGAAGTTGTCACTTCGGCAAAAATTTTGTGGAATTTATAACTTCGGCACGACATATACACTTCGAATAAATCTGGAAAACACGCCAAATTCTTAAAATAGGTTCGATCATTTGCTGACTATAATAATACGTAGGATATCTTTCCGCCCGATTCGAGTTTTTCCAGGAGTTATTCGTTCTCGTATGCATTCCAGCAATCATTCCAATCGTTCCAGGTACAACTCGACGAGCTCTGTCGATTGGTAAAAAATATTCGGAAAAAGTCACTTCCTTACCCCCAAAATCCCAAAAAACTGAAAAAAACACCCCAAAATTGCATTATTTCCAGAAATACCGGGGCTGATTCGCCTGAGTAATATCTGATATCATTCCAAACATGATTCCAAGTCAAACTCGATGACCCAGGTCATTTCCACTCGGTCGGAACCGGCCGGTTCCTCATATTTCTTTGCCGCCGGATTCCGGCCGGATTTCTACAGGATTTTACCGGCAAATTCCTACTGGATCCAGACAGAAACGACGACAATTGAGAACGAGCTGGACCCGGTCACCATCAGGAACCAGCTGA